GCTAATGGAGAATCATAGAAAATCTTATAAACAAGAAGTTTAGTGGGAGCAAGGGTCAATCTTGTATGGTCCAACAAGAAGTTTGTGAACTCTATTGTGAAATGACTATCAAATACTAAATGCTTAGGTTTGAAAGGATTTTCGACAATGGACCAAGCAAAAGGCGATACTTAGTACATAGTGGGAATTAAGATCTATTGGATAGACTTAATGAAATGTTTAAACGAGTAAAGGAATTTACCGTGTTAAACATGAAGGACTTGAAAAGGCTTTCGACCCATTTGTATAAAACTAAGTAAATGTTTGAACTAAGTCAAACAAGAAAGACTCTAGTAGAGACTTTCAACTATATCACATAGCAAACAGTTTAGCAAGACTCAATTTTGTGATTAAAACCATCATGTATGCTATGATATGGAGTCGTCACTCAACTTACATGCTTAGAGCATGAGAAGTATAAAATACCAATCAATCTAAATCTAATTGATGAATCGTTAGATTATGGTCAAGAAAAACCAAAATACTTTGATAAGTAAAAGGGGATAAGTTCTTGACGCATAGAAACAATTGTAATTTGAGAATTGATGTTGCAAGCACATCCTTAGCAAGGATTAGATCCTTAATAAGGAAGCCGTTTATATGCACGAGCTAGAATGCGTCGTGGCTTGAGAATGGTAACATGGACGCAGATCCATAAATAATGTGCGGAAATTTAAGGTAAATTTCCATAACCACAAGTGATTTGGGTCTCCCAAATCATTGTGAGTCGTCCGGAATAAAATCCGAGCAAAGCAACATCAGAATGTTTACTAAAATATATGTTGAGAATATTGTTTCCTGGAAGGCAATAATAAGAAAGTGTTCAATGAAAGTTCAATGTCGAACATTGATTGTAGGTTGTCATGTTGAAGATCTCAAATCATGAAAATTAGTGGGAGCCATCACGTGGACAATAAATCCTAAATCACAAATAATCCATAACACTCTCAGATTCTATCATCTTATTATGAAAGTGTTCATTAATGAAGATGTTGAGATTTGCGAAGTAAATTGTAACCAAACCTATGCAAAAGGTGAACAACACCATTCATAATTGCATGAAAGAAATCAAGCATATTAAATATGGGTGTGATTTCGATAAATGTTCAATGAAGAGTATTACTTTTGAAACATTTGAAGAAAACCATTTATCATAAGATGAAACGCTTAGAAGTTTCATAGTGGAATAAAATTTTACTAATGAAATTCCACAAACTATTTAATTGTGGTTTAGAATTAAATAATGAGTCCATTCGATTTCTGAGAATATTCAAAACAGGGTATCAAGACCATGTCTTGGATAAAGAAACACTTGTTAATTGAACATTGAATATTAAAATCGAAAATTATCCTTAATCGAGGTCATTTAACTGATGGACGATTAATAACCACTGGAGATTAGTTTGTAGTATGATTTACAGCACCGTTTCTTGTGCTGCAAGAACATAGTAGTCATAAATCATTTGCACAGGTGGTAGTTTGGAACTACACTGGATCGACCTATGAGAGTACTTTAAGAGATTCAAAATTGTCATAAGTACATTTCGCATTATAACTATCGGAACCTCTTTCCTCGACCATGAGTATCGTGAAGTTCTCTTGTTTGAGTACTAGTCATTTTGATGTTGTCAAACGTCTGCGGTAACTTGGGATTATAACGGCAAAACTCAGGCGACTAGGTCCTCTTAGTAAGGGAAGCTTACGGTACAAGACTGGGAATGTCCCCCTATTAATAGTAGGGAATATGTCTTTGTTGTTTACAATGCCGCTCGAAGAGCGAGACTGTGAAAATGCATGGCCGTGCTCGGAAGGATTTTAGAAATCATCTGCTTATTGACAATCGAACTCGGAGATCGAGAAACACTTCTGAACGTAATAAGGATGACGATGAATCTTACCTTATAGTTCACGAAGAGACATTAAGCGACATAGGAAATGGGTTATACACTGTATGCACACTTGTCTAGAAGGACAAGTGGGAGATTAAAAGGAATGGTGTCCTTCCAACAAGTGTATTATTCCGATAGAGGGTTCAGAATTATCGGAAAGCTAATTCTTCAGTAAGGTCAAGTGATCGGAATGCCTAGGTGGAGGCCGCTTCCGATCAGCAATATTAATGTACAAATTAATATTACAGCTTAATCTTGACTGAACCCTTCGGGTCGAACCTTATCGAACAACCGATCCGAGACGACGAATCAATCCGAAGGATTTGATGAGTCGTCGGAGTTTTACGAATAAAGACGTCGGATGTCGAGCTTAGAGCGTCGAAATCGAGCTTCGCAAGTCGAGTCGAATTTAGAATTCGAAGAGACGCGAAATCAATCAAGTTACAAGTACGAACCTAGCCGTAGCCTCGCATTGGCTTAGCCATGTGAGAGCTAGGCTAAGCAAGATCCATAGCAAGCCTAGCATGCTAGGGCATTGCGTGCTAGCAGGCCATGCGCCCAAGCACCATCGCACCATCGTAGCATTGCATGTGCGTGTGGATGTTCTAGGCGTTGGCGCTAGGCAAGGCCTAGCACTGCTCTGCGTGGGATGCCTGCGGTATATGTGTGGGTGCTAGCTGTGCTGGCTGACTGCCTTGCCATGGTTCTAGGCGCCAGCTGGCAGCCTTGGCAGCCAAGGCAGGCTGCCAGCCAGCCACATGGAGGATGGCGGTTTTGATCAAGTGGGGACCAAGGGTAGTGGGCATTGCCTTGGGCACCAAGGATATGGTCCCCCCTTCTTGGAATGGTCCTCACCTACCCTTTCCTCCCAATGTGCCACTTGTAACTCATTGATTGCATTGTTTATTAATTTGTTTTTGATTAAAATTAATTAGTAGGAAAATGCAATTGTCCCACATTGATCATGAATGGGATGACAAGTTGATTTTCTCTATGAATACCCAATGGTTGGGCATTTGGGAGTTCACTTGAGTGGAACTAAATGAGGCATCTCCCATTAAGTGAGAAAACCTCTAAGTTCGTAAAACTCCAGTTTTTATTGGTCGGGTCCCGACGAACCTTCGGGACTTGGACCATTCGGGTCGGGTTCGTAGGTACGAGCCGTTGAAGGCGGTCACGATTGTGACACTCGAGCTTTCGAAGTAAGAGCTCGATTTGCGAGCGAAGCATACGTCGAGGGTAAGAATATCTTTTCTCCTTCTCTCTTTATATTGTTAATTATGTGATTAAATATTTAGTTGCTTTAATTAGTGAGTGGGTCTTGGGTGGGTTTCCCTTCCGCGTAGCGGTTAGACGCTACGAAACCCAACAGTGTCTTTGTCCATAATTCATATGGAGTCCTTTCGAGAGCTTTTGATGGAGCACGGTTTAGAGTTGGTGTCGCAGTTAGAAGTGCGTGTCCCCAGAAAGTGATAGGAAGTTCACTAAGACCCATCATTGATCGAACCATGTCTAACAAGGTTCGATTCCTTCGTTCGGACACTCCGTTCAATTGTGGAGTTCCGAGAGGTGTCAACTCTGAAAGAATACCATTTTCTTTCAAGTGATCGTCGAATTCATGGCTGAAATACTCGCCACCTCTATATGATCAAAGTGCTTTGATTTTCTTGCGAAGCTGATTTTCAACTTCACTCTGAAACTCTTTGAATTTCTCAAAAGATTCAGATTTTTTCGACATAAGGTAGACATTGCCATATCTACTGTAGTCGTCCGTGAAGGTAATGATATATCAATAACCATGCCTTGCGGGTGTAATCATTGGTCCACATACATCCGTATGTATTAGACCTAATAAGTCACTTGCCCTTTCTCCTAACCTGGAGAATGACTGCTTTATCATCTTGCCTAAAAGACATCCTTCGCAATTTTTCAGTCGAATGAGTCAAGAACATCTTCTTAAAGAATTTTTTTGATGCGTTTGGTGTTAATGTGGCCAAGACGACAATGCCACAAGTATGTTTGATTCCACTCAATGGTCTTAGCTCTTTTGGAGGTATCAATAATTTGTCTAAACATATGTAAAACATGCAATTTTATAGAACATATAAACAAGACATTTCAAAGAACCATCCATTGATTAAGTCTTGCGACCAAAGTAACTTGGTGTCCAACACCATAGATCAAAAGTATGTTCAAAAGCATGAGAAACAACCATTGTTAAATTACAAGCCATTGATAAAATAAATGTGCCTACAAGCAATATCAAAAGACCATCTTTGTCGTCCGCTTGTCGATGCACATGGTATCCAATACCCTCTCACTTGGTTCCTAAAAAGGAAACATAAAGTGAGTTACACATGGTATCCAATACCTATGAATAGCTTTATAAACAAGTGTTAATAACGATACCTGAGGCAGATGCCACATTCCTCTCCTCCTCATCCTTTCGGAAGAGCTTGCATTCCCTCTTGTAGTGGCCTTGCCCACCACAATGGAAGCATCGTATCTTTGCCTTGTTCTTGAACTCCCTCTTCCTTGCTCTCAAGGGCCTCGCGGTCGCTCCATATGAGGTGGCTCGGCTAAGCAATTGTACCACCTCTCTTAAAGAGCATGTCTCCTTTCTTGCAGCTATATGCACTCTAAGTGCATTATAGCCAGAGTGGAGTGAAGCAAACAAGATATGTCCCGTCATCTCATCCTCCAATGAGATTCTGAGAAGCTGCATGTGCTTGAAGAGCCTAGTCATTCCAAGCATATGAAGTTGGAGGGGCATACCGGGTCTCAATTTTGTATTGTAGACCCTAGACCAAAGACGACGCCTTTCCTTAGCAAGATAACCAACATCCGGTGGCTTTATCTTCATGTTTGAGAGTGACCTAGAAATAGTAGAAAAAATGAAATAGGCACCGCAAAATGCGCACCAGTTTTTAAAAACCAGTGCCAAAAAATAAGTGGGATTCAGGGGAAGACTTTTCGCACAAGTTAATTGCACCGGTTTGGTTCGAACCGGTGCGAAAGCGATTGGAAAAAAAAACCGGCCATTTTTATCTTCTTTCTTTAATTTCTCTTTCTTTCTTCTTTCTTAAATTCTCTTTCCTCTATCTCTCCTCCTCTCTCATCTGCCTCTCTCTCCTCAAACAAACCCTAATCAATAAGAATCGGGAAGTAGACAAAGATGAAGACCTAGATTGAACGTCATTCTTGGCCTAAATTCGGTGATGCTGTTCATGAAGAAATCGGCGCTCGTCAAACTATGGTTTCTACTGAAGAAATTGGCCTTCAACGACCTGCTGCTCCTGGTTTGCTTCCTTTTGGTTTGGTTTTTTTTTTTTTTTTTTTTTTTTTTTTTTTGCTGTTCTTAATTTTAATCTTTGTTGCGATTCATGAATTGTTGGTTGATTTTGTTGTTGTTGTTGTTGTTTTAGGGTTTTCGAATCTGGCCGTGTTATTCATGTGTTATTGGATAGATTTTTAATGGATTTACTCGTGAATTTGTTCTATGTTTGAGTGATTTTTGCCAATTGAGGTTAATTGGAAGAAATTAAGGGTTTCCTGATCTCTCGAGGCTGTTTGTGGAATTTTGGGGGAATTGGAGATGGATAGGGGTTGGAGTGGTGGTTTCGTGGGTGCGGTGGTGGGTGTGGTGCGGAGGAATTACAGTCTATCAAACAGATTGGGGCCTCTCTGCCTTGCAGATTCTCAAGGATGATGAAGGACCTTTTAATTTGGCTATGGCTCCTTTGAAGTTGAATGGTGACAAAAGTCTTTTTGGAAGTTTTTTGCCTATTGGGAATGATGACTCTCAGAATGTCAAGGGAATGTGAGTACTTTTTGTCTATTCTTAAAATTTCTATTAATCATTTCTGTTTATAGTGTAACAAGTATTAGGTCAATTTAATTTTTTGAAAGTGTAGTATTCTAGCTTCCTATATGTTTTTTGCATTTCTTGCAAACTTGCAAAAATTAATCTTTTCTAGAGTACATTGTTTTCTGCTTGTATAATTGTATAAATATGCTAGCCCTTGCCAAATTCCTACATTTATCTGTGGAAAAGTTTCATATTATTTGTTTATGCAGATCGATGCTTGCTCGTGACCTACAATCTATTGTCTTATATGATCAAGACGGAAAATTTGTGGGGGTTCGACGACCAAACTCGAAACTTCCAATTGACATTGATAGGATAAAAATTTAAATTCTAGATGCCATAGGAAGTACATGCCTTGAACTAAAAGCAAGTTCTAGGAGATCTTCTAGATTTGTCAATTCTTAATACCTCATTTAGCTTCCCCTTGGCTAATCCACATGTCTTTTCAGACAGACCCTGGAGTGCCTGTTGTATATGCTGGATTTGGTGCTCTGATGCTCACATGTATCAGTTATTTATTTCATGCACAGGTGATTTTCTAAGCTCTTGATTATCACTCTTCAAGGATTTGTTACGCAATTGCTACTTGGATATACTAGTTCATATATTGATAAATGCCCTTTTCACATATGTGGCTAGCTATCAGATTCAATTAGAGAAGTTTCTACTACTTGTAAAAGCATTGTTTCTTATCAGAAAAAAAGGATGTAGTTGCACATGTCTTGATGTTCCTATTGCTTTCACCCGCTCTCTCATTTTGAGTTGATATACTCAACAAAACTACTTCATACTTGGTAATCTCTTCAGCACTTTAATTTCATGAGCAGGATTACCTACCTCTATATTGTATGTTCTGCAAATTGTATGAAATAATGAATTATGATACAAAATTAATAATCGAGGTCCTTGCATTTTAAGTAAGCAGATAATAGGAGATTCCTTCAAGAGATGACCTGATATGTAGTGAGTGTGATTGGTTCCTTAGGCTGTGAGATTGGCTGAATGCCTATTATGTCTCATGTATTATTAGTTCCATAACAAAGAAATAGTCATCAGAAATCTGGAAAGTTTCACTGCCTCTTGGTTTTTAATTAATGGTTTTTATGATTTCATGTATGTTGTTTTCATTTTCAAATATATCTTTGTTTGCAACTTACAAGATTTAGCTTTACTTGTCGTACCATCTCTAACTTCTATAGTAGAGCTTATATAAAATTATTATTTTTCTATGATTTTGTTACTGACAAATATTCCAATTGTACGAATGTTGTCAAGGGCTTGCCTAATTATAGGCGTTACAGAGATCCGGAGGCCAATCTGGTGAGGCCAGAGGAACCAGAAGATGTTCCCATGGAGGACAGGAACCTTGCTGGGGATGGCAATTCTAATTCAGATGATTTTTCTAATGATAGTGCAGGGAGTGACTACTCTGAAAATTATTATACAGGGTCTGAGCACTGAACAAGGCACTCTAATCAATCTGTTTCTCAGGTCTATAGCCCACCAGGAACAAGGCTAGGCTTGAACAACGATCCTTATGCGGTCTTCTATCCTTCTGTTCAGGCTCGCAGAAATGGGCAGGCTAGGGCTCTCTCCTTCTCTAAATGCTTGGTAAATCCTAATCCTAGTGTTTGTTTTCAAACTATTAATCCTATTGTTCCTGTGGATGTCAATCTAGATCTTGGCTTCGGAAGTGTGGAATGACACGACAATCTCTCTCTAAACCTTAACTCTATTCCAAGATGCACTCATGGAATAATGATAAGGGATGGTCTAATCTGCTCACCTTCTTTGCAGGTTCCCTTACACCCTTCTATTCAACGAAAAGGGAAGGAAATAGTAGCAGTGCCTTCAACCTTCGAAATTGGGGAGTCTCCTCTGAGTCCTTATATTTCTTATTTTATATACATTTGTCATTATCGTTTAATGTTTTGGGTGATTCTCTTGCATAGCTAATAATTTGTTATTCTTTTTAGATTTGCATTGGTAGTTTTGTTGTATATCCATATCATTTATTGGCGGCAAGTCTTCTATGTTTTTTCAAGATGGCAGGGATTATGTTATGTCTGTTTTTGAAGTTGTTTCAATTACATTTTTTTTATTATCTGAGATTCTGAAATACGAGAAAACAATGATGATATGATCCATTTGTTAATTGTCTAATTAGCTTAAACGAAGTATAACAGAATGTCAGAATTTCTCACTCTAATGAGCTTGTACAATTTTATGCGTGCATCTGCTTATCATCAAATATAGGAGGTTTTCAACATGTTCTGGAAAATGGTTTAATGAAATTCAGTTCGGTATTTATACACCAAGATTAAAAGTCTCATGATTCCATCAATTTCTGCTGTTCTGTGAGAAAATATTAGGTGATATATTCTTATCTTTATCCTTCTTGACTAATATAGTGATTACTAGCTCTCATATTGGGGTACAAATTGCCTTGAAGTTCTAATGAAAATATACAATGGCTTTTCTTTTATTGGGTTTTCCATGTTCTGTTCCTGATAATTATGAAGTCTGTAAACTTTCAGCTTTGAATCTGAAAGTAATAGCTCTGTCACAGTCACTAAAATTGGTTTTTGGATTTTTTTTGTAGTGTCAGAATTAGAGCTGGAGAAATTAAAGCATGCATTGAAACTTCTTTCTGAATCTGAAAAACAGCTTAGAGTTTCCAGCGAACGCTCCATGTGGTTTACTGCCACTTTATTACAACTTGGCTCTATTAATAAAAAAAATAAATGCGTTTTTTGCCAAAACAGTGGATACTTATATGTAGCAATTGTATACCTTATACTTGCATCTCTTCTATAAAAAAGTTATTCTGGATGGGGTTTCATTTCTGTGACTTTTGTGATGTACTAAATATTGTTTAAGAATTACTTTACAACCCTTCCCTCTTCCTTCTTCCAGAAACCAAAAAGCATGCATGCATCTTGTATGGAAGAGTGTGTGTGACAGAGAGAGAGTGTGTGTATGTGTGTGTGTGTGTGTTTAGCAGCTATATATATGTTACAATTTCGTTTCTATAACTTGCTTTGACAGGTAAAACAGCAGCAACAGCACCACCAGACAACAGCTAACAGCCAGCAGATAGCCAACAAGCTTTTGCAAAACCAGGCCAACAACCAAACAGCAGCATCACAGCAGCTGAAAGAGTAGGCAACATAACCAGCAGCCTAAAATAGCACATACTAGCTAGAGCCTAAGCAGCTAGAAATAGAAAGCAGTAGCCAGCAACAGCTAAACATACCCTGCAAACAGAAACCAACAACCAGACACAAAGCAAGCAACACAACCAACAGAAAACAGCAGCTTACAAAAGGAAAGTTGACCTGGCTGTTAAATCAATGGCTCTGCTTCTCCAGACCTTGATTCTGTATTTTTTTTTCTTCACTTTTTTAAAGTGTAATATTACAAGTTATTGAAGAAAATATATGTGTTTTATGTATATTATGATTATATACAAGTATTTGGTACAATTTAAGTGCAAAAAATGCAACTTTTTTTTTTAATTTGTTTTGGGCATTTTTAGCGCCGGTTTTGGAAATGAACCGGTGCTAAATGTTTTTTTTAAATAATTTTGGGGACTTTTGGCACCGGTTCTAAGTCAAAACCGGTGTGAAAAGTGTGGTTTTTCGCACCGGTTCTCACCCAGAAATGTCTGGGTTTTAACACCCCCCAAATCGGGCCCAGTTCAAAACCGGTGCTAAATAGGGGTTTTGAACCGGTGCGGATTACGTGTTTTCGCCTAGTGTAGTCAAATCAAACACGAGTCAATCATAGTTGCCATTGTCACTCTTAGTGACTCTTACATTGACAACATCCTCAAGTGCTTTGAGGAAAATGTCTAGAAAATAGGAGAGCTTTTCCTTCCAATCTTCCAGGATGGAATTAGCCATTAGATGTGTGACTTTCTTGCAATCGGAAGACCATTTATCATGAGCCTCATCGCTCATGATTCCCTTAGAGAAGAAGCTTGGAATGAGAGAATCAAGAGTGTACTCCAAGGGTAATTCCGAAGAGTTTTCCTGAGTTCCTCCTCCCATTCCTTGAAGTTAACCAAGTTAAGGATAAAAGCCAACTTGTCAGGGAGTTTCAGGCACATAGAGTTGTTGTCTGAGTTACTTGCAGACATGTTTCTACAATTGAAAGAATTTTAAATGAAAAACCATTCATAAACAAATAAGTTTGAAATTTAAAGCATTCATGCATATTTTCAATCTTATTGAGCACTTTATCCACGCATTAACATTATTCCCTTTTAGGCGAGAATAAAATGATTCCAAGATCCCAAAAATGAAAAAGTGATTAAGCATGCTTTAGCTTGTCTTAACACTTAATATTTTAGGTTAAACAATCCAATTGCTAATAGCTCCAAGCTACTCTTGGTTCGATAAAACGTCGCATCTAATGCTTCCTTGACATTTTATCTCCATTGCCACGACATCTAAGGACTCCTTTTTGATATCGTTGAGCTTAACCAAGACGGCTTGTATACCTAGTATACCTTACGTTCCTAGGGAAGCGATGATGCCTCGCTTTGGCGTAGCCCATCACCACGTGCATTAGTTTGGTAAGTGTCATTCTTGGAATGGTAAATTTGGCTCAATATTATAGGGACCTAGGGTTTCTATAGTGTTGGTTGATTTAAGTGAACTTAATTAATCATCGCAACATTTGAAATCGTAAACATGCATCTATCATACAATTCAATCATATATTAACACAATATATATAAATCATAAGTATAAGGTGCATTTGGCAACTAGCATGAACCCTTGAAATCTTCAAATTTTCAAGGGTCATCGATGCAACTTCTTTGGCTTGTCCTCTTAGAAATGCTGTCTTCAACACATCTCCGCCAACAATGCATTTATTAGCTACTACGACTAGGAATAATCTAAATATTAAGGTACAAAAGTATGGAACGGTACGCAGACCGTATTTAGATTTACAAAAATACATAACGGATCGCAGTCCGTATTTACTATCCTAGTCGAGCCCCACTACACTAGTAGAAAATAGGTAATGGGAAGCCACTATTTAGAAGCGGTTATTGGAATCCGCTTCCAATTCCATTAAAAATCCCGGGAAATTAAAAAAAAAAACAAGAGGAGAATTGGAAGCGGTTTGGGTTGAACCGCTTCTAAAAAGTAATTAGAAGCGGTTCAAACCGCTTCATTTTAAAAAAAAAAAAAAAAACGGCATTTAAACTTTCTTCCTTCCCTCGTCATTTCGTTCATTCCCTCCTTCTTCAATTCCCTTCTACTGCTTTCATTCCCTCCTTCAATTCGCTTCCTCTTTCACTTTCACACACCGTCACACAGCAGCCCACAACCACCATTGTCGTGCTTCTAATACCCACCACAACAACAACCTTCAATTCGTTCATTGAGTGCTTGCACCATTGTCGTGCTTCACGGTTTTGTGTTGTTAGGAATAGGGATTGCTACTCCTGCTCCGACCACCAAAACCACGATAGGGTGCTGCTGCAGCATCGTCGCCGCCTCCACCACAGTTGCCCTCCGTCGTGCTGCTGCGTCCCTCTGCGTGCTGCCCTTGCTGCCTCCATTGTTGCGACCCTCTACGTGCTGCCCCTCTCACCTTCACACGCACCACCAGGCCACGACATCTCTCCCTCTCACCCCACATTCCTTCTTTTAGGGTGAGTTCATGCTTAATTTTACTTCATTATCTATATATTGTTAACAATTTCCCAAATTTTAGGGTTTCAATTTTAGTTAATCAAATTTTATGTTAATTATTTTATTAATTATTGTATACAAAATGTTAATTGTTACCTTAATTGTATAATGTTATAAGTTGTTTGAATTTGAGTAGCTAAAAAGTGATGAATTAATGAATGGATTGTAAGTAAGCTTAGTTTGCTTGTAGGTAGTCCAATTAGCATTATATGAATGAATGAACTTGTGTTTTGTTAAATGTCAAACAAATGCAAATTATTGAATGCTTGCATCTTCATTTGCCTAGATAACCGTTCGAGTCTTTCTCATTAGGAGGAAGTCTTGAATAGTCCCCGGTTGGGACTGTTCTTGGACGTGTAATCTCACTTAGGTAGTGAATGTATGTCTCTTTTTTGATTTTAAGGAATATATCGGCTTAGCATTTTGTCACCATGTTCTCTGGGTGCATATGTAGGTAAGTAATTATCTACGTTGTGTACTTGAAGAACTGGGGCAAAATGCTACTGGATTTTCCTTAAAATTGGAAAATTGGCATACATTCACTAGTGAGATTAGACGTTCAAGGATGGGTTAGGTTGGAGTGATAAGGACCTTTTGGGAGCATTCATTTTGTACACTATATGCATGAACAATATAAATACATAATATGTACTTTGTTTATATGTTGCATTTATACATTATTTATAATGTGTTGGTATGTATAAAGGCAATTTAAAATGTTGAAGGATCGCGGTTGGATGTATGGTAGACATGATACGTTGGAATTCTTTAATGGGGTCCAAGAAATTTGCGAGAGTGCTTCACAATATCAGATCAGAACGGGTGTGAATGACCTTTATTGTCCTTGTGTCAATTGTAATAATGTGACAACGGTCGACAGTGTTGATACAATAAGGGATCATGTGGTATGTCATGGGTTTAGGCCTCAATATCATGTGTGGGTTTGGCACGGTGAAAAGGGATCGTATAGGGAGAATGATGTTGGGAATGATACGCACGATAACAGTGCCGAGATTCGTGCGGAAGATGAATATGGTATTGATGATGGTGGAGATGGGGATGATGATGGTGGAGAGGGGGATGAGATCGAGGACGGTGGTGGTGATCACTTGGATGAGATGATGCATAATGTTGAAGGTGATTCTGGTGACCGATGTGATGTATTTGAGTCATTATCAGAGGCTGCCAAAAATCCTTTGTATCCTGGGTCCAAAAAATACACCAAACTCTCAGCCGTGCTAACACTTTTTAACATCAAGTCAAAGTATAACTGGAGTGACACTAGTTTTACTTCTTTGTTGACTGTGTTATGTGAAATGAACTTCCTAAGTCCTACTATTATGCAAAGAAACTCATGTGTCCATTTGGTTTGGAGTATAAGAAGATACATGCATGTCCTAATGATTGTGTTCTCTATCGAAATGAATATGAAGAGTTGTAGGAGTCTCCACGTTGTGGTAAGTCGCGTTACAAGCGAAAGAGCTGCAATGCTGGAATGAAGGGACCTCCTGCCAAGGTGTTATGGTATCTTCCCATCATTCCAAGGTTCAAGCGTCTATTTTCAATACCAAAAGATGCTAAGAACTTGAGGTGGCATGTAGAGGGAAGAAAGAAAAACAGTTTGCTGAAGCATCTGGCTGACTCTCCGGATTGGAAGAACGTCGATATGAAGTTTAGGGCATTTGGTGATGAAGTCAGAAATTTAAGGCTCGGGTTGTGCACCGACGGTATGAATCCATTTGGCACTCTTAGTACCCAACATAGCACATGGCCGGTACTTTTAGTGATCTACAACTTGCCTCCGTGGTTGTGCATGAAACGAAAGTATGTGATGCTGTCACTATTGATAACGGGTCCAAGGCAACCTGGAAACGACATAGATGTTTACCTAGAGCCCCTTGTTGATGATTTGAGAAAGATGTGGGACGAAGAATTTTCTGTTTTTGATGCCCATAAGAACGAGATGTTCCTCTTGCGTGCAGCCCTTATGTGGACCATTAATGATTTTCCCGCATATGGCAACCTGTCTGGGTATCAGAACAAAGGGCATAAAGCATGTCCTATTTGTATCGATGACACACCAAACGTGTACCTTGAACACTACGACAAAGATGTGTACGTGAGGACCCGAAGATTGCTTAGACGCGATCACCCATATTGTAGTCACAAAAAGGCCTTCAATGGGAAAGTAGTAGAGGGGGCTGCGTCTAAGCCATTGAGTGGACATGAGGTGCATAGTCGAGTGAAGGGTATAGCAACTGTTTTTGGTAAAACATCGAAACCTTTAGACCCACATGCTCTCTTTAAAAAGGAATCGATCTTTTGGAAGCTTGAGTACTGAAAAGAACATGATGTTAGACATTGTCTCGATGTGATGCATATAGAGAAGAATTTTTGTGATGCAGTTGTTGGGACAATTATGGGTATTCATGGTAAAACAAAG